GCTCCAAGACGGCACCAAGAGGGGCCCAAGAGGGCGACCAAACATGTTGAAACTCTAGCTTTCTGCCCCCAGGAGCCCCAGGGGGCCCCAAGAGTGCCCCAAGAGGCCCCCAGAGGCCCTCACGAGGCCGCCCAGACGCCCCAAGGAACCCCCAAGAAGCACCCCTGAGGCTCCGAAACGGCCCCCAAGTGGCTCCAAAACTCGCTTTTCACCCCTTCGCAGCTTCTACTACCCCCAGATTGGCATAAACAAGGGGTCGGCGGTGTGGCGTAAGCCTAAGAATCATTATCGATTTAATGTAGGTTTTTGGTGAATTTCGGGTTCTCCTCTTTTCGGCTTCCCGACGCTCCAAGACAGCGGTTTTCTGGTCGTCCGAAGTCGCCTGGGAGGCTCCAAAGTCGCCCCGCAACCATCCGAAAGGGCTTCCAGGCAGTCCAAGAGAGCCCCAGAACGGCACAACAGGGGTCCAAAATGGACCTAAGAGAGCCCCATGGCGGCCCAAGATGGCCCCAAGACACCCTCCGAAGCATTCCAAATCGTGACCGGGGCGTTCAGGGAGACTGCGGTTAGAGGCAGGTTGGCCTTAGGAAGCCCCAGAGGCCCCCAGAACACGCCCAGGAGGCCTCCAGAAGGCTTTAAGAAAACCTAAGAACTTTGGTGAGGCCCCCAAAGGCTCTCCAAGGAGGAGCCTCCGCAAAAAGAGCTGAGGAGGATGGGGAGAATACCCAGGGTATGGCGAGAGTGAGGAAAAATAAGCATGGAGGAGGGATAACGAACAACATTATTATAACGGCGATGCCAAATAAAGGCAGCAAGAAGTTATCGCAAAATTGTCCGCTTGACCTTCCTGCCATTTCCGCCTGCATACCAATCGTCAAGGACCAAGGTGCATGGCGCGAAGCGCCACTGCAGTCTTGTGTATATATATGTATGTATATATACATACATAGATATACACATCGATGCCGAATGCCTCAGTATCCATGACGCCCCTAAATAATGATACCGCAGACAAAAAAAAACGAATCAAAGTCTTGTTAGGGCCATAGGGCTATTGGGCTATTGGGCTGTAGGGCGATGGGGCTGTGGGGCTATAGGGATATGGAGCTATTGGGCTATAGGCCATAGGGCAATAGGTCTATACGACTATAGGGCTATAGGGCTATAGGACCATAGGGCTATGGGGCTGTAGGGCTATAGGGTTATGGGGCTCTGGGACTCTGGGGCTATGGGGCTATAGGGCTACAGGGCCATACGGCTATGAGTATGTAGGGCTATGAGGCTATAGGGCTATAGGACCATAGGGCTACAGGGCTATAGGGATATAGGGCTTTGGGGCTATAGAGCGATAGGGTTATAGGCATATCTGTACATATATATAGGGCTATAGGGCTATAGGGCTATACGGCTATAATGCTAAAAGGCTATAGGGCTATAGGGCTACAGGGAAATCGGGCTATAGGGCTATTGGGCTATCGGGCTATTGGGCTATTGGGCTATTGGGCTATTGGGCTATAGGGCTATAGGGCTATAGGGCACTCGGGCTATTGGAACTATCGGGCAATTGCAATATAGGGCTATAGGGCTATTGGGCTTTAGGGATATAAGGCTATAGAGCCATAGGGCTCTAGGGCTCTAGGGCGATAGGACTATAGGGCTAGAAGGCTATAAGGCTATAGGGCTATAGGGCTATAGGGCTCTTGGGCTATAGGCCTACAGGGCTACTGGGCTATGGGGCTATAGGGCTATAGGGCTATAGGGTTACTACAGGGCTATAGGGCTATAAGTCACAAGGGCACCCTGGCACCCAGGCACCTGGGCACCCAGGAACCCAGGCACCCGATCACCCGGGCATCCGGGAACCCGGGCACCCAGGCGGGCCGCGGAAATCGGTGGTAAACCTCACCTAACCGAAGTATACCGGGGATAAACAAAATCAACTTATTTTTAGGGCTATAGGGCTCTGGGGGGCTATGGGGCTCTGGGGCTCTGGGGCTATGGGGCTATGGGGCTATAGGGCTATGGAACTAAAGGGCTATAGGGCTATAGGGCTATAGGGCTAGAAGGCTATGGGGCTATAGGGCTATAGGGCCATAGAGCCATAGGGCTGTAGGGCTATAGGGCTATGGGGCTCTGGGGCTCTGGGGCTATGGGGCTATAGGGCAATAGGGATACAGGGATCTAGGTCTATAGGGCTATTGGGCTAATGGGCTATAGGGCTATAGGGCTATAGGGCTATAGAGCTATTGGGCTATAGGGCTCTAGCGCTATAGGGCTATTGGTCTGTGGGGTTATAGGGCTACGGGGCGATAGAGCTATAGAGCTATAAGGCTCCAGGGCGATCGGGCTATAGGGCTAGAAGGCTATAAGGCTATAGGGCTATAGGGCGATAGGGCTATTGGGCTATAGGGCTATAGGGCTATTGGGCCATGGGGCTATAGGGTCATAAGGCTACAGGGTTCTAGGGCTATAGGGCTATGAGGCTGTAAGGCACCCGGACACCCAGGCACCTGGGCACCTGGGCACCTGGGAGGGCCGCGGAAATCGGCGGCAAAGCTCACATAACCATGTGCATCCGCTAGGACCCCTACAGAGGCAAGCTCTGATTGGGGAATGAATCCGCTCGGACCCCAACAGAGGCAAGCTCTGATTGGGGAATAGTCGAAAACGAATGGCGCGCACCTGCGCACCCTTTTCGTCTGTCACGAGTGTCCATGTGCACACGTTTTTCCGTCGGCGGCTAGGTAGAGTCACTGCGCTGGCGATAGGGCGTTGGTGTGTGTGCACGAAACGCGAATAAAGCCAGCATGCAAAGGGGGGGAGGGATGAGGCGTGTCCATTTGCACACGTACCGCGATGTCATGACAGCTGAGGCCTTTCAGAGATCGTACAACTCAAAGCACTTGTTGTCAAACCATGTACTAGTATGTGCACAGGTCTTCACTGACTTTCTCTGGGTTTTCTGCGATGCCCGCCTCGGAAAGCAAGTCGCCTCCCTTGATCACAGCTGCGTGTTCAGTGGCAGCCGATACGTATACACGCATGGTTGCGACGCCCCATGCCTTTCGACATGTTGCGACACCCCAGCTCCACATACTTGCCAGTTTCGTCTTCATCCAACTGATATTCCTTCATCAGGGTCAATAGAGCAAAGAAAAGCAAGGCAGTCGTCACTGCTGTAGGGGCTCGTCCCCAGGTGCACACAAAGGCAAGGTTGCTTGCAAGTCGTCGTGGTCGCGCAGCGCTGCAACCAGCACAAATTGATCAGGGATCCTTACGGTGGGAAGGAAATACATATACTAGAACCATCGCGCGCGCTTCGGGCGCGCTCAGGTTCTAGCTAGGTTTGATGGGCGAACACATGGAATATCATCCTTGTTGCTTCTTGCATCCAAAGACTCTCTTGGAGGCCCTGCACAAGCCTCGGAATCGCATAGAAGGGGAACTGCGGAAACGCAAAAAACATTAATTGCCGTTAGGTATTCAACAATTTGGGGCCCTCGAAGGCTTCCTGGGTTCTTTTCTGGGGCCTTAATTGTGGTCTGTTGTGCAAGAGTAGACAAGGGCGAACTTGGAAAAAACGGAATTGTGGGATTTCCCTTTTTTCAGATTGTAGTGCCTGGGCTGTGGGTTAGACGTGTTCTGCATGCAGGCCACGGTCTGTTGGGATGCCTCTCGGGGTCTTCGGGCAAAAATAAGCCAGGGGTGAGTTTGAACAAAAAAATCTAAAAATCCACTGCTTCAACTCATGGGATCAGGGGATCTCAATTTCTACAATGGTTTCAGGGGCAGCCAAGAGGACACGAAGACGATACAACAGAGTGCCAAGACAGCGTCAGAGAGTTCAGCAGCATTCCCGAAACATTTTGCATGTGACCCCGAAGTCTTGATGGGGCTCGAGGAAGAGGATAGGGAGTAGAAGTTCCTATTTGAAAAAAGGGAATCTCTGGAATTCCATCTTTGTTTCAAATTCCTCGGTCTTGGAGCGTTGGAAGCCGGAAAACGTGAGAAGGCGAAAAGCGTCGACAAAAACCACTGGAAAGCAACGATTTGTCCCTCTTCCGGCTCTCTCGGGACGGCTCTCGAAGCTCTCGAAGCTCTCTTGGGTTGTTTGGGGCGCCTCGTCGGAGATTTTTGGGGAACCTCTCAGGGGCCTGGGGTGTGTTGGAGGCCTCTGGGGGTCCCGAAGTCCTCTCGGGTCTCTGGAGGCCTCCTGCTCCCGCTCTTGGGCTCATCTTGGGCCTGTTCTGGGGTGGTCTGGAGCTGTCCTGGGCGCCTCTTCGGCAGTCTTGGGGCCGTCTTGGCCCGTCTTGGGGCCTTCTTGGGGGCCTCTTGGGCGGTCTCGGAGCGGTTTTGGGGGCCTCTTCGGCCGTCTTGGAGCGTTGGAAGCGTGAAAAAGTGAGAAGGCCAAAAACCCTAATGACAAAAAAAACCGTTTTAGGTTCTCCGGGCGCACTCGAGAGGCCTCTCGGAGCTCTCTTGACGTCTCTTGGAGGCCTCCTGGGAGCCTGGAGAGCCGCCCGAAAGCTATCCTGTGTTACTTGGGAGCGTCTTGGGCCTTTCTTTTACATTATGGGGGCTTCTTGGGGTCGTCTTGGGCTGTCATTAAGCATTTTGGGAACTCCCCGGGAGGCCGGGAAGCGCGGTACTGGGAGCGTTCCGGTGATGTTCCGGGAAGGTGTGGGACCTTTTTCCTTTTTCCTTACCTGGACTCTGCCTAGAAGGGTTCTTACTCGCTTGGCGTAAAGGGGCCGGGCAGTGCAAACCGCCCCGGGCGGTTCCCCCAGTCCCCTGGGAGCCAAGCAAAAGCAACAGCGAATGCAAAAACATGCGTGTGTGTGTGTCTGTGCGCAGGCAAAGTTAAAGCAAAGCCAAGCAAAAGCAACAACAAAAGCAAAGCAAAAGCAACAGCTAAAGCAAAAGCAAAAGCAAAAGCAAAGGCAAAGGCAAAAGCAAAAGCAAAGGCAAAAGCAAAAGCAAAAGCAAAGGCAATGCAAAGC